GACGGGCTTAAGTCCTTACTTAACTCCAGGTAATCTCAACAAGATAAGTGTATGAGGTAGAGATTGCGGATATTGAGAAACAATGACGTTATCGGACGTCATGAAACTAAACGGCGACAGCGCCGGGTGATCATATAATGTCTTCTTTATTTTAGAATAATTTGGCAAATTGTCAACGTATCAAGCTAAAATTTCCAACATTTCCTAAACTTTTTTCTACAATAATTCTAATGTTATCTAATTATAATCGCTATATACATGTATTTGCAATGCATTGTAAGAATTTCTACTCACGATAACCAATTCAAGTAAAAACCTTCCCAAAACTATATCTAACACTTCTGTTGTCTGGAGACTGGTGCTTTGTAAATTAGTCTTTTTTTTTTTCTTTTTTTTTTGAATCTTTGAATTGTGTTCTTCATGAAATACTGGGATTGCCATAAAGTTTTGTTTTCAAAATAGATAACAGTAGTTAACAAGTGACAATGGAACTAAATGTTTATTGATAAAATTTTAATCAGTTTGAAGGACTTAAAGGTGCTTAGACACAGATTTTACCTTAATATTTTCTCAAATTTTCTGTATAATATCATGAATTGCAATAGCATTTTACACGAAAATATAATTTAAAATTTATTTATCTGGAAATTATTGGAACTACGAATTCCGGGACGCGTTGATTAACACATCTTTGCACTTGCACCAATTTTAACTTTATCCTTAATATTTAAGAAAAGAAGCGATTTTGTTATGTATTAATGAAAAATATTATATCTATAATCCAGAAAATTCAGAGCAGAAATGTTCGAAAGCAAAACCAACTCAACAGTATTGCCACTTCGTGCTCTGTGATGTGTACAGAGTTTAACAAATTGAACACACCCGTGAAACGTAAACTGTTTTTGTAAACAGGACACGAGCTCTGTTATTGTTAATGTTTACAATTCACCGGGTGTGTTCAATTGTTAAACTCTGCACACACCACTGAGCACGGACTTACAACACTGTGAGTGTATTTTGCTTTCGAACATTTCTACTCTGAATTTTCTGGGTTATAGTTTTAATATTTTTTCATTAATACACAACAAAAATTGCCACTTTTCTTAAGTTTTAAGAATAAAATCAAAATATGGCGAAGCGCAAGGATGTGTCAATCCAACGCGTCCAGAAATTCGAAGTTTTAATAACTTAGAGATGAAATAAGATTTTTATTACATTTTAGTATGAAATGCTATAGCAACATATAAGTCATGAAATTATACAGAAAATTTAAGAAAATATTAACTTCAAATCTGTGTCCAAGCACCTTTAAAGTAGTTATTAAGATCAGTCTAATTAATTTTTGTGTAGTGATGCTTCATGAAGGTTTAGCATTAGGCATGATTTTTTTTTTTTTTTTTTTTTTTTTTTTTTTTTTTTTTTTTAAGAAAAAAAAATATATATATGCTTATATTTATCTGATATTAACATACTTTGTAAATTAGAACGCATTATTAATATGAGTATACATAAACATAAAAAGCTGCAGTTGTATGTACATGTACATTGAGTTTTCCATTCTTTAAAAGGAAATAAGATAACTTTTGGGCAATTTTAGGACATTTGGGAGGAGCAAAATTGTCCAATTATTTAATAAAGCATTCTTTGAATGACATTTTATTTGGAAGCGTATTAGTGCCACTTAGACATTTTTTAATTTTTTTCCCCACAATCTAAACTGTAAATTTTAAACTTTAATCCGTAAAATTAACATTTTGGTTTGTATAATTCACATTTTAATATATATAATTTACCCACTCAATTCGTCATTAAAAACGCTCTTTAAAACCAATAGATCATGAATCCTGCATGCTACAAATAAGTTTAAATTTTAGTCTAAAAATTAAAGTGCAAAAAATCATTTTTTAAATTTGAGATGTATTGATGGCACAAATAAATAGCATGTGTTTAAAATGCCTGAAATAAGTTAGACTATCGGAATATATTTGAAAATATTTTGATTTCAGTTGAAAGGAACAGCAAATCAAACACTGTCTTCATTTAAAAAAATATGATATCTTTTATTTTGAATTAATGCATGTATTCATTGATTTGATGATATTGATAATTAGATTGAAGAGAACAAAAAACAAAAACAAAAACAAAAACAAAAAAAAAAACAAACAAAAAAAAAAAAAAACAAAAAACAAAAAAAAAAAAAACAAACAAACAAAAAAACATGCAATTTGTTAATTGATTAAACAATTGGCATAATTTTTAGCGCCAATTGTTTGGATGCGCGCAATGTTCAAATATCGTTAGCATTGTTTTAATAATATGTATTATGTACAATAATTATAATAATTGTATATTTGTACTGAGTATTAAAGTATTTGACTTTGTTCTTAAATTTGAGAATTTCACAGAAGTTTATCTATGTTGATTCAATTATAGTTCTCTGATGTAACCTTATAAAATGGCTGTAATTTTAACTAAATATATTATATTTCACAAATCCATGAACTTGCAATATCAATCTGAACTGGATATAAGATGACAGACATAATCTAAAATATTTATTTTACCGTTCGTTGCTCTTTACAAAAGTAATAAAAAAAATAAACTAGTATACTGGATTGAAAGTATATTCTCGACAATTTGTTTGTAAAAATTTCGAGGCCAAAGGGCAAAACGTCCATCCGTACTAATAATAAAAATAAACTTTTATGCAACCACTTGCTAGCATCATAAGTGTAACACCATGATATGACCGTTTGATTAATATAGAATTAAACGTAAATCATACAGCTTAAAGTGTAGAATTAACAGATTAGAAAGCAGATTTGACAGCTTAAAGTGTAACATCTACAGTAACTGTTTTACTCATTTCAGTGTAAAAATTACAGATTTACTTATTTAAGGGTAAAATTGAAGTTTGGAAATAAAAATGAATAGAAAGTGTGAAAATCGCACTTATACGCTTTCTTAATTTAAAAATGATTAATAATTTTAACTTGAGGAATTTCTCGCTTATTTTTGTAGGTCTTATTTCCAACAGGGACTTTAGTAGAGATTTTAATTGTGATATGGCCTTCCTGGGTTGCGGATACTGTCTTTCAAATAAACGTGAAAATTTATCCGTCGCCTTCAGACGTTGGTCAAACGAAAGGTTTGTGTGGAATTCTGGATGGTAAACAGGAGAACGATTTAACGAGGAGGAACAATGTCACTGATAACACTAAAAATTATGATTACAGTAACCACCCACGAACTTTCTCAGAATCCTGGCGGTAAGTGTACATCCTAATACAGTAATAATGGTAACTGGTGTAACAGTATTAGAATATAGGAGCCTAAATATCTCTTATCTAACGATTCTGTTAAATCCATAAGGAATTATGAACTTGACAATAGATAACATTGAATAGTTCAACCCCCCCCCCCCCCCACCTTTTCCAAAAAAAATAAATTACTAATATCCCATATAAAGTTGGAGCGAACGCCTAACATATTGTATACGAAACGTTTATACATTGAAAGGTACATGTAAACAAAAGCAGTAAAAATGAGTTAAAACTGGGTAAAAAGAAAGTAAAGTGCAGTTGTATTCCTGTTTTGTTTTTCAAAGGATATCATCCAGGAACGATAAATCTAAAGAATATAATCTAATTAATTAAGTCTCAAATGAAGCTTAAAATTGAATTTTTTATTTGTAATAATTTCGTGCACAATATGATTCAAGTCACATTGACGTATAAGAAGTACCAAGAATCACATTACCAGAAAAATTGAAGTTCTTTAATCGATCTTGCTTTGGATAATAATATTCATTAACATGAAATAAAAATTAGAAATGATCTTTGGTATCTCCAATGATATAACATGTTTTACACACTGTTTATTATATGAAATTGATGACAAAAAAAAAAGAACTGATTCACCAAGTAAGTGAAGAAAATTTCTCTAATTGTGGTATCTTTAGTTTTTATGTATTTATGTCCTTGATCAATTTTAAATTTATACTCTACCAACAATTTAAATGTTTACTGATTAATTCTCATTGAGTAGAGGTCAGTTGCATGCTGTACCTTACAGATCTTTACTTTTTTCATATTCCTGGTCCATTTAAAATGACTGCTGAAAATGGTAGGCGTATAATTTAGGAAACCAAATTATGTCTCCCAAAAGAATGTGAAGATAATTAACAGCAAATATTCTCGTAAGTCCGTTTGAAATACAAATTTTGATCAGTACCTACAAGTGACTCTGTAAAAAGAGAGGTAGGATCAGATGCCATGGAGGAGTAAGCATCCCCTGCCAACCTGTCACACTAGCCGTGCGCTCCTTGTCATGAAGAAAATGAAGAATAAAGATATTTGTTTTTAGCATGTACATTTATGTGTACACTTCTCTTTAACTAATGGAAATTATTTCAAATTGCAAAAATATACATAATCCATATAATAGACTGAGAATAACCGTAATTTACGCACACTAAAAATGTGAATTCCAGTAACAAATATTCCGTTTTAATCTATTTTCTATAACTACAGAGTTCCGGAGGATGAGAATTTGTTCCTGGATAAGAATATTGTGCCTGAAAATTTTGTCTCTATTTCGAATACATTAACTCAGGCTTGCACATGTAAGGAACTGGAAGGAGAAATAACAGAATGTGGTGTTAAAAAAAAGAGATCCAAGATTGAATGTAATTACGGTACATTTAAAGACTGTAAATTCAAACTAGGAAAACCCTTTGAATGCATTTTACATCCTGCTGGATCAAAAAGAAGGAAACGGGATTTATCACATCTCAAAAGAATAATGATAAGCACTGCAATGGATGCAAAAGAAATCAATCACTTGGTAATTTTTTTATTTTTCTTCCAGTAATAATGAAGAGAATTTTGATTTTATTAATTTGATAATGATCTCAATTGTATCAATTTTAGGAGAGAAGTAAAAGACAAGTTTACGATGTAAGAACACACAACGAAGCTCAAGATGTTTGCATCAAAGCTTTTGAAGAATCGGAACCTTATAAGACCTGTAGACAATATCTCTCTGATCTAAGTAACAATGCAGTTGACAACTGCATTTCGGATGTAATGGTATATATATATATATATATATATATATATATATATATATATATATATATATATATATATATATATATATATATATATATATATATATATATATATATCAGGGCTTCGAGGGTGACATACCAGAACGTTTGCCCCAAGGTGACAGGAAAGTCCTAGAGTGTTATGTCACCCGATGCCGAAGGCAGAGGGTGACATAACACTCCAGGACTTTCCTGTCACCGAGGGGCAAACATTCTGGTATTGTTACCCGAGAAGTCCTGTGGTATATGTTATATAACATTTTTAAATTAAAAAGTAGTCTAGAATTATTTTAATATAGGCAAATAATCCAAAAATGCTTTTATGACGTTAAGAATTGCGCTCAGTTGTTTACGTTTGCTTTGCAACCAACGTCATGAAATGTCGAACCCGAGCTACAAATGCGTTACATAAAGACACGTGAAAGTGATCGGAAGGGTGTTATTACTGTATCCGCCGGGTGATATAACTGTTTCCGGTGTGTGACATAACTGTTTCCGATGTGATTCAGCATTCTTCAGGGTTTATGATGAAACTTATTACATTTGTGATATAATAGGAAAACTTATTCAAAAACCAACAACACTGTATATCCTAAGTGTCGGATCTACTAAGTAGATACAAGGTCACGGATGGAAATTTATATAAAGCACAAAAAATGACCAACGACAAGAAACAATAATAATTGTCAAATTTTCGGGACGACCTGTCCCTTCCTCAGGACAAAGAAAAAAGGTAAGAAGTCATAAAAACAAAGAAAATAGAGAAACAAAAACAACTAGCACTGCTACTAAACTACCAAACACTAAATATTTACAGTGTTACATGTTTAATTTGAATTTTTTAAACAGTTGTGAACAAAGAAATCCGGAGCACTATGAATTGCGTCCGGTCTATCGGGTGTACTCTGGTAAAGTGCGATTTGCAAAATTGAACGAATTAATTATCGCTAATTAATTACGACCAAGCAGTAAATCGTACACTGTCTTATTCTCTCAAAATTGCGTAACTCTACATGTTTAAAAAGAAATTAAAGAAATATAATATGGAAGGGCAATTTCAAAATATGAATTTGGATATATTATAAATTTGGAAATCGGAAAAAAGAAATAAACAAAAATGTAAGCTGTAAATATTTGAGTAGGTTGTTCGAGAATTGCTAATGCGAATTAACGGTAAAGTTTACACTATATAGAGAGAATGAACTTGTTTGTTACAATCCGGGATTGGGTCTAGTTCATGTTCATCCTGGTGAAGTCATTAAGTTTTTTAATACCATTAGGGCGGAATGACTTCAGTCTGTGCATCCAGAACTTTTCCTTGCCTTTTCTTTGAGCGTCTGTCCATCTTGGATTATGGTCAATAACCACTACTGTCATGTCCTCCCATTTGTGACCTTCAAGGTTGAAATGTTCCCCTACAGGTTCATTGAGTTTTTTGGTCCTAATGGTAGAATGGTGATTATTGACTCTCCTGCGGAGATCTCCTGTTTCACCAACATACTGTTTGGAGCAAACTTTGCAACTGATGAGATAAATGCAGTTGTCTGTTTGACAGGACAAATTCCCTAGTATTTTGTAGCTGCGGCCTGTAACGGGGCTGTTAAAGTTGTCTGTGTCAGAGCTGTACTTACAGAGAAGACATCTTCTGTCAGAGCAAGTTTTAAAACCCCCGTTAGATAATGGATTGTCCAATCTGGTTCTTACTACCATGTCCTTTAGTTTCCTCGGGCGTCCGATGCAGCCAATGGGGGCTCCTAAAAGACCTCTGCCATTCGTTTATTTGAGTGGAGAATTGGCAGATTCTTTTGAAGGATACCGCTGAGGTTCTTACGGACGGGATGGTATGTGGTTACCAGAGGGACCCTGCCGCTATTGTCTTTTTCCTTGTAGCGTAATAGGTTTTGCCTGTCTTGTCCCGCCATCTCATCAATAGGAATTTGTATGGTGTGGGCATTGTAGCCTCTCTTGCATAAGTGTGACTTAAGGAGACCGCTGTGTTCCTGATACAAGGCAGGGGATGAACAGATGCGCTGAATTCTGGTGGCTAGACCCTTAGGCACACCCTTAAATGTGTGTGTGTGTGGGGGGGGGATGACAGCTAGTTGGCATAGGATACAGATGGGAATCTGTGGGTTTCGTGTGGAGACTGAACTCGATTTCACCATCAGTCAGGGTAGATGTAGTATCTAGGAATATGTTTTTCGAATTAGATACGTCTACTGTTAATTTGATAGACTGATGAAAGGTGTTGGCAAACGAAATGAATGCCTCGATGCTCTTGCGACATTCCACTCACTTCATCTCTATATCGTCAATGAAACGCAACCAGCTAAGGGTCCTAAATGGTAGCAAATTGCCCTTCCATATTATCTTCCTTTAATTTCTTTTTATCATGTAGAGTTGCGCTATTTTGAGAGAATAAGACATTGTACGATTTACTACTTGGTCGTAATTAATTAGCGATAATTAATTCGTTCAATTATGTAAACCGCACTTTACCAGAGTACACTCGATAGACCGGACGCAATTCATAGTGCTCCGGATTTCTTTGTTCACAACTGTTTAAAAAAAATTCAAATAAAACATGTAACACTGTAAATATTTAGTGTTTGGTAGTTTAGTAGTAGTGCTAGTTGTTTTTGTTTCTCTATTTTCTTTGTTTTTATGACTTCTTACCTTTTTTCTTTGTCCTGAGGAAGGGACAGGTCGTCCCGAAAATTTGACAATTATTACTGGTCGTGTCGTTGGTCAACTTTAGTGCTTATATATATATATATATATATATATATATATATATATATATATATATATATATATATATATATATATATATATATAGTCCCTGATATGTTCTACTTTCACACTTGAGCGAGTGATCGGTGAGCGAATACTAAACTAAATGAACGCAGAGCGAACGCAGAGCAAACGGTGAGTGAGCGGTGTGTGAACGCTAGACGCAATTTGGTAAATGGTAGGTAAATGATGAACGGTGAGCAAACGCAGGACGCAAACGGAGCGCAAACTCGAGCGTAAAATGAACGTGAACGAACGATGAGCGCTATATGAACGATTTCTTCGTAATGTCTCTGATTTTTTTCTTGCATTGTATTTATTCTTTTTTTATTCTTGCAAGTTTTAAAAAAATTGATAAATAAATAAAATGATAAGAAGTTAAAACCTCTCCTAAGTAATTAAATTTTGGAGTTCCGACAAAATCATTCTATGTTGATTTTTTTTTTTTTTATTCTGAACCCTTCCAGTAGAAATATAAATGAATAATTAATAAATAAATGAATGAATGAATAAATAAATGAATAAATAAATAAATAAATGAACGTTCCCACATTGCCCTAACAAAGATGGTTGATGCACATAATTTATGGATATTATTTATGTTTCTGCACATATATATTGTGTTTAAATTTATCTAAGCTTTTTCGTCACAGACGAGTTATCGCTGTAAAACATAACTGATATAGAACCCTGTAGTGAAAATAGAGAAATTTATTCTGTAAAATAGATATGTTTATTCTTATTTGGTCTATTTAACCAGTACAAATGTTGTAGCCTTTAGAAGTGGAAATGACCGACTTATGGAATAAAATACAAGCATACACGTTTTTCCGTACAGTACGATTCCGTGTAAAATAATAAAAGAAAAAAAAAATCTCACAACTGAAAACATTTTACAAAGGCTTCTGGATGTGTCGCATGAATACACATGCTTTCTGATATTTCTATGCAATAATAGATAGATAGATATAACATCATACTAGGTATCATAGTATAATAAGCATAAATGTGTCTCTATTTCTATGTAAATAAAAACTTCAAATACCACATTCAGCGGAAACCTGTCGAGCAATTGTTGTTTTAACAATACCACTTCTGTTTCTTTCTCAATATAGATAGTATTTTTAAAATAATTTTATAGTACAAAAATGTTGTATTTCAAAATTTACTACATCAAATAAAAATATATCAGACAGGTACAAGATCAATTATGTTTAAAATTCTCGTCATAAAACATAAATATACCACTAGAAGATACCATCAAATAAATTATAAGAGCATAAGCTAAAATACTTGAAACTTATACCATGATATTTTTGTCATAAAATTTATTTTTTTCCCTTAAATCTCTTCAGTGAAAACTTATTTTAAGTACTTGCAAAAAGTTGCTTTTACATTTAGATTTTCATTGCCTGAAATAAAATAATATTAAAAAAGGCTTTGTGGCAGTGTATTAAAGTAAAAGTTGAAAATGTTTTGAAATAATTACCCCAAAGCCTTCTAATCTATTTTTACGCTAAAGGATGGTGATGGAGGTATAAAAAATCCCTTGTTGGTTTCAAAAGAAAATTACCTGTTATCCCTGCAATATAAATAAAAAATACACAAAATTAGTATACTTTCTTTATTTGAATGTAATCTAAAATTATATGTTTATTGTCAGGCTTTTGTTATATTTCTAGATGACTGGAGACAATAATATAACATTGATACATATCGAAGCTGCTCTTGAACAATGTTCCAGTCTAGTTAATTTTAATTCAACATTTCAAGAAGAACAACCTGAAGTAACGCACATCGTTGAATCATTTTGTCCAAATAATTGTAGTGGGAATGGTAAATGTAATGAAGGTGATTTAACATTTTCATGAAGTTATGTTTTCATTATCAAATACATGCTGATTTATAGTTAAGCAGATTATGAATGTCACAAGGGTAAAAATCTGTTAAATGAGTTATACATAATAATAATTTTATCTAAAAAAGTATGTAATATGCCAACGTTGACGCGGCCTAATACCTTTAGAAACGTATTCTTGGATCAAAGTCTGACAAAACCGACAAATGACAAGGGCATTCTCATCTGCTTTTTCCTATGTTTGAGTTTAAGTATTTTAGTATTAAAATCTTTCAATACTGGTAAACATCCACTTTACACCACTCTCTTTATTTTAACAAATAAAGAAAATTAAGTTCCGCTTTGATTTAAAATAGAATACGATATAAATAGAAACACAGAAAACCTGTGGAAAAAATGATACATGTATGTACATCTGAATTGCACTAACATTTCGATCATGCATTTAACATTTTTTCAGGAAATTGTACATGCGATGAAAATTTTGCTGGAAGCGATTGTTCTTTTGATTTACTTGGCCCTCCAAATATAAGGCACATTTCAGACTTCGGTTTTTGTGACAAGTCGTATGAAGAATGTGATGAAATAACCTTGTATGGAGAACTCTTTTTAGACCAAATGAATACAGAATGCCACATAACAAGAAGAACGGTAAGTATTTACTTAATAGCAATTTTTAGCTCACCTGTGCCGAGGGCTCAAATGAGCTTTTCTGATCAAAGAGTGTCTGGCGTCCATCTGTCGTCTGTAAACTATTTACATTTTCGACTTCTTCTCAAAAACCACTGGGTCTATTTCAACCAAACTTGCCAAAAAGCATCCTTAGGTAAAGGGGATTCAAGTTTGCTCATAGGAAGTGCCGCGCCCTCTTTCACCTTTTCTGAAGCTTCTATACATGTATAGGAAATGCATAGCCCAGATCAGAGACGTTTAAAGCTACAATATAACATGTAGTAAAGAAACGGGTCTCGAATAAAATTCTAAATATTTTATTTAATATCAGTGGACTAGAAGATCAAGACGTGAATTAAAGATATAAATGAAAATAAATAATTATTTCAATGTTGAGAACAACGACAAAAGTGAGCTAGACGTGTTAAAACGTAAAACACGTGGATAAAAAAAAATCTGCGTCGACGCTCGCCGTCTGCAACGTCATATCTTTATGACGTTATTTCTCTGTTTTAGCAAAATTGCCATAAGGCCCTTTTGTCATGGGCGCAATCATATATATATATATAGATATCGGCTTGTAATTCAATTGAAAATGTCACAGAAGATTTTTTTTTCCATCGTAACTTTTTCACCTTCATCGTATCTTCACCTACGACCACTTCTGGGTAAACTAGAAGTAAACAAAAAAGACTTATTTTTGCAGATATTGACAATAAATTGAATAATTAACATCACTGAAGACTCCCGACCCCATTTTACGTCGATTGGTGTCACTTCCGGTCAAGCCAGAAGTACTCTAAAATTGTGGAACATATATAAACCAAGATTTCAATGACAACTTTTTTGGAATACAGACCGGCATCATTTTTCGTAGAATGGACTTTATGAGATTAAAATGTTTTGTTTACTTTCCTGTCTCGTAAATTTCTGATATTTAGAAAAGCATTATTGATAACCCGAATGATTCTTTTACATGTAACATTTTCTTCTGTTAAAAAACCCCGAAAAGTTGATATTTTCTACTGAGGTACATGGGACAATGGCCATCAAACTTTCCAGAAAGTTTTTATGGGTGTTACATGTATGTACAGTATTCTGGAATTTTGTATAGATCCGAGGTCTGGTTTAAAGATTTGGGGAAAAAAAACCTACGTTGCAAATTCGCACAGGGAAAAAAGGTGGAGGGGTGAAAGAAGGTGAAGAATGTTTATAAATATAACGAATAAACATTACAGTAATCTATTCTTATTCAAGAGTTCATTGTGTCTTGAAGGTCAAAAGCCAAAGTCATTCACAGAAAAGGATAAAACTTTTTTGCCAGTTCTGTATAGGACAGAGATATAAACTGTAAGCTGGATCTAAATGCATTTCCCTTCACTTACTCCTGTTCTTTAGGTCAAGGTCTAATAGGGTCATATGGCTACATCAAGGCTATCAATAATTTATCAAAATCTTACAATGACCTCCTTCAATAGTTCCACAACAGGTGCTTCATTGTTTCTTCAACTCTCCATTTGTATTGTAATAATAGAAGACTTAGAATATAAAGGGACTCTAGATACTTCTTTTTCTCATATCTCAAAAACGAAATGAAATTTTTGAATAGTAGTTTAACAGAAAGTAAAAATATTTGCCTTTATTTGAAATAAAGAAAGGATGGATGACCCCTAACATCAGGGGCTGCAAGGGGCAAAATGTCTGTAATCGTTAGCTCTTAAACGATTAATATTTTGTTACTTATTATTGAAGCAAAAAAGTTCCTCTAACCCATCTGCATCTATAAATAATGATATCATGATAAGATTTTGGTAATAAGGTGTTATAAGAGACCAAAACGCAAAATCTCTTATTCTTTATATCTCACAACTTAAAGATAGTTTGGAAAACCACATAGAAAAAAAAATCAAAATAATATTCAAGGACAGTGGAATAAAATCAGAGGAAGCAAATTCTTTATATCATTTTTTTTAATTAACGTATACCTTAATACTAAAGTCATAATCATATCTCATCTCATCACTTCAGATGCAGCTAGACGGCACAATGCTTTCCCAAACATTTTTTCAAAGCAGTTTGGAGCCAAGAACACTGTTTGAAGGATATTGTCCTCTGTCATACAGTATTGAATTCCACTGGGTGACGGAATTTACTTTCAATGCAACAAACGATGGATTCAGATTTACAGATACTTTTAATGTTTATACGTATCAGTCAGACTGTCAGGAATTGAGAAATACCAGTGGAAGGATAAGTTTTGTTTTAAAGGTATGACAAATCAGGTAAATGCATGACTTAATTCCTTTCTAGTGGTCCATTTTCTATAGACATTGACTTTATTTTTGCAAATAAGTACTACGCTTATATCAATTTTTGGAGGCTTTTAAGTTATCTTAAAAGGAGTTGTGGTAAACACAACTGTCTTTTTTAATTGTTTTAGAGTGGTTACTGTTTTATCAATGGAAGGTGTTATATAGATGGTGCCACACATCGTGATAACAAATGTGATTTGTGCAATGTCACTCTGGACAGGTATAGCTGGTCATTCAATCCAGGTAAACTAAAATTAAGAATTCAAAATAAATATTTTATTTATACTCAGATAAAGTTTTACATGCAAACTTAAATTTACTTTAATTTACTTAAATTTACAGAAAAAGAAAAATATTGTTTCCTCTAAATGTTGCCAATTTTTACATGATTATATATATACATGTACATGAATGAAATACCAGCCGTATTTGTATATTATACATGTAAAATACCTTTATCAAACACAAAAATAGCTGTTGAAATATTATACACCTATTTAGTGGCTATGAGGACAATAGCAAGTTTATCGTTCCCCAAGACAGCAACTATTTCCCGAGGCGCAGCCGAGGGAAATAGTTGCTGTCGAGGGGAACGATAAACTTGCTATTGTCCGAATAGTCAGTAAATAAGTGTTTTATTATACCGAAGTAGTCTTTACTTGTGTTACGTCACAATCTGTATAAAACCAGAAGAGTTCCGAGATGAAAAGCGAGGGAAACAGAATGCTGCCGGTGAATAGTTTAATGACTATTTCACCATGGGCAAATAGCACAAAAACTATTCCACGGTTGGGGCTGTTTGGAAAAAATAGCATGTTTATTCGTAATATTTTTATATAGAAAAAAATCACAGAGATATAATAAATTATTCTAATCCATCATTTTCTATATTATTAGTTATACAGATCCAGTCAAGAGTGTACGGGAATTTACCCCGGTTTTTTTTTATTCCATACACCCTGACGCAGAAGGCTTCAGGGTGTATGGAATACAACCCGAGGTAAATCCCCGGACACCCTTGATTGAACCTGGATAACGAATTTATTTCTTATGTACCCAAATAAATTCTTTGTAAACAAGTCCAATCAGCTGTGTTTAAAGCTATCGATAGTATTAATTTCCTCCTACAATGCATCGTGACGTCCTGTTTATTGCTTTTTATCATAGAGATATTATGCATTGTGACTTGACATTTTTTACCCCAGGCTCAAGTCAGGTGTTCGGAAATTTACATCCAATTTAACCAATCAAATCTCGTGTTACAAGCTACAAAGAAAATAATTTTACTTATCCATTGCCAGGTCCAATCAAGGGTGTACGGGGATTTACCTCGGGTTTTATTCCATACAAACTGAGGCCGAAAGTACCCTAATAAATTCTTTGTAAACAAGTCCAATCAACCGTGTATCAAGCTATCGATAATATTTACTATGTCCTACAATGCATCGTGACGTCATGTATAGAGAAACTATGCAATTTGATGTCACATTTCTTACCTCCAGCTCAAGTAGGGTGTACGGAAATTTACACCTGACTTTGTAACCAATCAAAGCTCGTGTTACAAGCTACATAGGAAATAATGTTACTTATGATCGGACCTGTTATTTTTACATTTTCAAATTGTCATAAGAAATCAAGGAAGAAGAGTTTAAAGTTAATGTATGAGTAAAATTTTTCCGATTTCTAGATTTTTACATAAATTACATGTACTAAGTCAATTTTCTGCAGAAAAATCTAAAAAATTTTTAAAATTTTACTCTATCAGTTAAATTACGTTTTTATATTCCAGGTCACTGCTTGATAAACGGTAAGTGTTATGCTAACGGAACAATAAGGGGGACAAATCCGTGCAGTGCATGTCTTTCGTCCGTGGACAGATTGAACTGGTCGAATAACCCAGGTATTTCATTGTAATATAGTTTTGTATATACATGTATTTCTAAATGTACGTCGTTCATAGCTTAAAATAATTATCAAAGGGACTCATTGGTACTTATGTTGATATAAATGCACTAACCAAGGATTCCTTTTTGTTTAGGATACTGTTACATTGATGGCATTTGCTACTTTGATGGCCAGTCTAAAAAACACAACGACTGCTATAAATGTAACTACACACTTAACAGAACAGCATGGATTTTCAATGAAGGTTAATAATACTTAGTCCAAATTTCTTAGATTTAAAAAATAGTATGTGAAAATGCAATATATTTTTTCACCCTTTTTTCATAATTTTTGGCAACCTTTCATTTGAAGTACATAAAATTTGTCTTGAATGTTTTGAACTAGGTCATTGTTTTATTGATGGCCAATGTTTCAAAGCGGGACAAAGTCATCTAATAAGCAGATGTATGTTATGTGATCCCATTCGTAATAGGAATAACTGGACAATGAGTTCTGGTAAAATATCTTTTATGATAAAAGTATTTGTATCTATTGGCCTTACTTTTTTAATGAAAAGCGCCCATAATTGCGAGATAACAATTTACTTTTCATCAATAAAATAAATAAATCAAATTTATTTAAATTGCCCTTGTTTTAGTAGTGATTCTAGACATTTTTGATTACAGTGCATGCTTTAGATAGTATATACAAATGTATTTTAGTGATGTTTCTAAATTGTAGAATATTGTTTTGTTAATGGTTCTTGTATGCAAGACGGGGAGACAGTAAAACTCAATCCCTGCTTGATGTGCAACATTTCCAAAAGCAAAACCTCGGTGTCTCTGAATCCTGGTAATACTTGATTTGTTCAAATATCGTTTTAATTCGTTAACTATTCTGATTTATGGAATTTCACTTTTTTTTCTTTTTCAGGATAATGGGTATGACAAGACTAATAGTTTTTGCAGAGATAATGTTTTGAAGGAGTTTATTTACTGTAATACAAAACTGTTTATTTGATTTTCCCCATGCGTATGGCAATGTTATTTTAAATTCCTCATATTAGTTGGTGTTCATAACAATAAAAGAGAGAGGGTGTGTGACGGTACATATTGTCGTTTTGTACCTATTGTCGTCGGTGACAATATGTACCTACCCTCACTGCACATATTGTCGTCCATCGGTACATATTGTCGCCAGCGACAATATGTACCGAGACGAGCCTTATTTTCCTTCTGCATAATGGACGACAAAATGTACAGTCAAGCACCAGCACATATTGTCGTCAGCGACAATATGTACAGTCAAGGTCGGCATATATTGTCTTCGATATATTGTTTTGCCGAATATTTACTTGAGAAAAGAAAGAGAGATTGACAAACACACATACGCACGGAGGGAGACAGACATCATTACTCACAATACTGTAGGGAGAACATTTTTTGGTCAGAAAATTGTGTCAGTATTGATGTACATCACTATGACATATATAGATACCGTAATTCTTGACATATCTCATAAATCAGCTTTCCTTTTTTTCTTGTAACATATGCTTGGAGATTGAATACAGGTATGTTTTCAAATTTGTTTAGTAGTAATGATTATTTGGAAATTATTTTTTGTGTTATTCTTATATACGATAATGTGCCGATATAATATTTTAAAAATATAATTTATTTTTAATAATAGTATAAGAATAATGCAAAAAATAACATAGATGATCTAAGTTTTTCATAGAATATTTAGGAAAAAAAATTCAAAATCTTCTTTTCAAGAACTACTTGGCCAGAAGAGATGATACTTATGTGAAAGCTTCATAGCGCACTTTAAATTTTGAGGTGTTGGCATAAAAAAAGATCCCTTGTGACGGTACATATTGTCGTTTTGTACATATTGTCGTCGGCGACAATATGTACCTACCCTCACTGCACATACTGTCGTCCATCGGTGCAAATTGTCGCCGGCGACAATATGTACCGAGACGAGCCATATTTTTCTCCTGCATAATGGACGACAAAATGTACAGTCAAGCACCAGCACATATTGTCCTCGGCGACAATATGTACAGTCAAGGTCGGTATATATTGTCGTCGATATATTGTTTTGACGAATATTTACTTGAGAAAAGAAAGGGAAATTGACAAACATACACACGCACGGAGGGAGACAGACAGCATTACTCGCAATACTGTAGGGAGAAAACTTTTTTGGTCAGAAAATTGTGTCCAGGATTGATGTATATCACTATGACATATCAAAATACCGTAATTCTTGAGATATCTGATAAATCAGCTATTCTTTTTTTCTTGTAATATATACTTGGAGGTTGAATACAGGTATTATTTTTTTTGGTTCAGTAGTAATGATTATTTGAAAATTATTCTTATGTACGATCATGTGCCGATATAATATTATAAATATAATTTATTGTTAATGATAATATAAGAATAACGCAAAAAATAACATTTTTAGATCACCTGAACTGGAAGTTCAAGTGAGCTTTACTGATCACATTTTGTCTGACCGTCCGTCTGTCTGTAAACTATTCATAATTTCAGCTTCTTTTCAAGAACTACTGGGTCAATTTCAACACATTTTTACCAAAAACAAACAAACAAAAACAAAATTAATTTTGTTCAAGTCATGACCCCAGGGGTAATGTGGGGTCACAATGGATGATCAAAGTTTTGCATAGGAATATATACAGAAAATCTTTAAAAATCTTCTCAAACACCAAATACCCAGACAGATGACCCCCCCCCCTTGCTTGGTGTTTTGATTTTTTTTGTGCTTTGGTAAATTCTGTTTGTTACACTTGTTTATACTTAGTCCACAGGTAAAATTTCATAATTAAATAATTAACTTAACATATACAATAACACTGATGGACGACAATATGCGCAGTGAGGGAAGGTACACATTGTCGCCGGCGACAATATGAACAGGACGACAAAATGTACCGTCACAATCACGCTGCAAGAAATAGCATACAAGACACGTCAGTGTGATTCTCACACCAACTGCATTCACAAAACTACCAAAAAACAGCAAAAAACACCTTTAAACAACAATATCTGTGGGGCGACAATATGTACATTGAGGCTGAGGCACATAATGTCGCCAGCGACAATATGTACATATGTAACTTTTCAGTCGGCCACAATATGTACAGATGGACGACAATATGTGCAGTGAGGGTAGGTACATATTGTTGCCGACGACAATATGTACAAAACGACAAATTGTACCGTCACATCCCTCACTGCTGAATGATCCTGAGTGCCAAATATAGGTCTAAATTTGCAGCCTTCCACCGGAATGTCGTAACGTGTCAATATGAACGAAAAATTCTGGAGAGGGACATTTTAACAACAAACAAACAAACAAAAACAAAATCAATTTTGTTCAGGTCATGACTCCAGGGGTAATGTGGGGCCACAATGGGTGATCAAAGTTCGACATAGGAATTTATACAGAAAATCTTTAAAATTCGTCTCAAACACCAAAGACAGCTGTAGCACCCCCCCCCTCTCTCTCTCTCTCTCTTGGTGGTTTTATTATTATTATTATTATTATTTGGTTGTTTTTTGTTTTGTTTTTTGTTTTTGCTTTTGGTAAATTCTGTTTGTTTAACTTGTATATACTTAGTCCACAGGTAAAATTTCATAATTAAATAATTAACTTAACATATACAATAACACTGATGGACGACAATATGCGCAGCGAAGGAAGGTACACATTGTCGCCGGCGACAATATGAACAGGACGACAAAATGTACCGTCACAATCATGCTGCATGGAATAGCATACGAGACATGTCAGTGTGATTCTCACACCAATTACATTCACAAAACTACCAAAAAGCAACAGAAGACATCTTTAAACAGCAATATCTGTTGGGCGACAATATGTGCAGTGAGGGTGAGGCACGTAATGTCGCCAGCTACAATATGTACATATGTAACTTTTCAGTCGGCGACAATATGTACTTATGGACGACAACATGTGCAGTGATGGTAGGTAAATATTGTCGCTGACGACAATATGTACAAAACGACAATATGTACCGTCACAGGGTGCCTCGCTGCAATTTTTTTTTTTATTTCAGTCAAAAACCATTCTTCTAGAGAAAATATGCATTATTTTAAACTTGTCTCCTTAGATTAAGACAACATTATGGATATTCTATGAGTTTTCATTACTTTATAATAGTGTTTTAAATAGAACATACAAGTGTTATGATCAAATGACGATATCAGCGTCTCAACCAAGAAATTTTTTTCGTCTTTTTTCTGAAGTAAAGATGGTTCGATGATAGGCGTATGTTTACTTACAATTATATTTCAGTCGTCTTTCAAAAAGGAAATAAAATAAGAACCTCAAACTTAGGGAACATCTGATATTAGCTGTATCAATATGCAATCATTCCAATGTGCAATACGTGTTTTTTTTCTTTTCTTTTTTTTTTTTTTTTTTTTGGGGGGGGGGGGGGTGTTCAACTCATGGACCTTCGAGTTGATAGAGTGTCTCAAATTTATTCGTTTCACCTTCGGATCAGTAATTCTATTCATATGCTATAATCATCTTGTTTGAGATTTAATGTTCTGCACATCATTTTTTTTTCTTTTCAAAGATTTCTGTAATATTGATGGTCTTTGCGTAGCTAACGGACTACAACACGACGATAAGTCTTGTTTATATTGCAACACGTCATTAAAAAGAGGAAACTGGTCACTTAGTACAGGTAATTCTCATTGAAAATACACGAATTTTTTTGTTGATAACATTTCTTTCATTCAAAAGCAGAAAACTAAAAATGTCAACAACTATATATCCGGCAAGTTATGATTGACAATCAATATTATAAAAATGTTTTGCCTTATTGCACTGTTAACATTACCGTAATGACATATTTAATGTAAAAATAGTTAACTATTTGAAAAACAGTTTTCATATTGTCATAGGTTATAAATATGTCTGATGAACGATTAAGATATATTTCAGTAGGTACAAAAATGTTTTGTCTAACACCTTAGCTAAATATTAGATGTAAAATAGCTCTCCTCAATAAGCTAGATTTGACTTAATTTTCTGAATGAGTTACTAGTTTTTAGATAGGTGCATTCCCAAGTAACTGCAGGCCCTATCAGACCAAAATTGCATAAATGTTGCATCTAGGGATGAACACTATTTATCATAAATCTTGTTTTCAGAATGACTTCAAAAATTATTCGTTCTGATTTGACCTGAAGTGCTTTTTGGGTATACGTATGATTATGAAAGCAGCACAATTCATTTGTACTTTCCATATCCTACTGTGAAATCTCCAATAATAGGAAGAATACCAACTCAAAGCACAAAAAAATAATTGCTACATTAAATTCTTTTGGTAAACTATGTTTCATGAATGCCATATAAATGTTATGCGAGAAACTTGCAAAATCAAAAAGTATTCAATTTCTCTTGACGGAATTGGACTTAAGGGACAATTGCAGACAAAAAAAAAAGAAAAGAATAATATTCACTGCATGTTGCAATGCTAGAAAATATTATGTACAATCATCAATAAAAATTGACACATCAGTGAAAAGATAAATAGCATACAACTTAACTTTCTTGTTAACCTATACAGAAATGTGTGTGTTTGTGTGTGTGATCAAACACTTACGATATATACAGGTTATTTTCTGCAAATTTGAATTTTAGGAAAACGTGGTAATTTAAATGATGAAATGACAAGTACATCTCATCAATGAATGACTACGTCATATAAACATGTACTCTATGTAATTGTAGGCCTGAATCATATCCTCCCCATCCCCACCCCTCCCAATAATAATGAATATTTACATCGCGAGTTATTATCATTATCCCCTTATAAAGTAATGTTGGAATGTAAAATTTCCATAAACAGAGTTATTCAAGCATTGTGAGCATCTTTCAACAACTTAGCTGAAGTTGAATTTAATAATTTGGTAACCGTGGTTTTTATCTTGAAATTTTACTAAAGAAACTACACTTGTATTTTTTCTCAGAGATTGATACGTTCCACATATGTATTTTGATATCATTTTATTTATTTTTTAAAAATATTTTCTTGTATTTGATTTACCCTTTGAATGTATCTAGAAGTGTCATCATTCGAAAAGTACAAATTCATTGACCTTGGAACAGGGAAACGTGATTCCTTTTCTGATATTTTTGTTGTTCTTTTTTCTAGGGTATTGCTTTGTCAATGATTTCTGTATGCAGGATGGAGATTCGTACAAAATGAACAAATGTTTTATGTGTAATGCTTCGGCAAGCGTTTCCTCTTTGTCCTTGAATCATGGTAATTACTGTTATGTTTTACTTAATTCTTATTCCTAACAAAAATATTTTTAAAAAAAATAAATAAATAAAAATATTTTTCAACATAGTGCTGTAACGTATGGCATCTTAAAATCTTACGTAATAAGGATACATATAAAAAGTTTTTTAAAAAATATCCCTGATAAAAAAAAATATAATGTATTGAGTCAATCAGTATAAATTGATGATTGCCATAAAACGTTCTTAAATTACAAAGCTAAACATATAATTATATGTTTTAGCATGATAACTGTTCGTTATCTGTACATTTCATTGAAATTAAAAGAAGGACAAAAATTGAAAACAGAAACTGAAATTGTTATTTATAAATTATGTTTTGTTCTGTAGGATACTGCAATATTGGTGGCATTTGTGTACCTAACGGACGAATAAATGATGCCAAGCCTTGTTTATATTGTAACACATCACTCACCAGAGGAAACTGGTCCTTCAGTTCTGGTATGTCGTTAATAGAAGATTAAACATATGGCTTGTTGATAGTAATTTAACGTGTAGAATATAAAGCAAAATTACAAGAATGCGAACATTTTCAATTCAACACTTCAAATCAGATTTCATAATAAAGGAAAATTGAGTAATACGCTTAAATAAAAGCAGAATTAAATAATGAAGGAACATGAAGATAAAACAGTTTTTTATACTACATAAAAACGGGTTTCATACAAAAGGTCGTCGAGCAGTTTTCTTTACCGGAAGATATTGAAGGTATCGATTTGCAATGTCTTTCGATGCCCAAATTCATAGATTACTTGTTTATTAAAAATGCATACTTCCTGAAACTTGCATCATTTTCCTAAGAAGCTTTTTATTTCTTTACTTACGAGGTATTCATAATGAAAAGATATGTAATGATTTACATTTATTATAATTTATCAACAAAATCAATATACTAGGCTTAAGGACCCTCTATACACCAGTGCAAATTTTTTTTTGGGGGGGGGGGGGCATTGGGAAAATTATATTGATCAAAAGTGTAAATATTGAGCTTATCTATTTAATTTTTAATATATGGTACGTGGCATTTACCTCCAGGAAAAATGTTCAAAGACAATCAAGTATCAATGAACAGAAATCACTGTTGTTTACTTCTGTGGGGAAAATTTATGTAAATAACGTGTTCAATTAATTTATCTTGGCCTTTCAAAATGTTAAGAATACTTGAAGTGATTACAAATTGTGTTATATACTGTGAATTTCAATTTCAATTTATTGGAATTTAATTCTAAGGGCAGATCACTCTAACGGCAGAAAAATACCATAGAATCAGAACTCTTTAGTGCGCATTGTAGAGAGGGTTTTTGAATATTTAATAACTTCATTGTGTGTTGGAATTCTATTAATAATTGCTTTAAAATTTTCTTGCACGACAAAGTTAAAATGACTTCACTTCCTAGTAAAAACAAAGAACAACAAGAAAAATATCTTTCAAAAAATTGGGACAAAACGTTTGTTTTGTCTTCATTTAATACACTTAGTACATTGCACTGATAACCTATACGATTCCAATACACTGTACTTTCCTAGGTCAATGTTTGATTGGTGAACAATGTTACCGAACAGGTCAAAACCACGTGACAAAGGGATGTAAGATTTGTGATCCTCCTCAAAACAACAGAAATTGGACTCTTCGTGATGGTTATGAATTTTCAATAATGTTTAAGGAAAATCCTATACATGTATATGTATTTTGAGTAACTCAATTTAAAAATATTTAAAAAATATTCGGGGGCTATTTTCTTACACTTATTAAAGACTTTAGCTTAACATACGCATTACGATGTATTTGGTAACTTCCTTATTGTTAATTTCAATGATATTTGTGTCCAATTTTGCATGCACTAGAAAAGTAGAAAAAAAATTAAACTTTTTAGAATAAGATCAAATGACTGATATAGTGTACACGATTTTTAAAAAAAAAAATAATGTGACGCAAATTCTGCGAAGACTTGTTTGAGTTTTTTTCCCCTACAAATTCACTGATTCTGTTTAATTGTAGGGCACTGTTTTATTAAAGAATCCTGTATGAAAAATGGTGAAACAGACAATTCAAACAAATGTTTGATGTGTAATACTTCAGCCAGCTTGCATTCTTTGTCTCCAAATCACGGTATTATCATATAACATTGTTTTATATATATATATATATATATATATATATATATATATATATATATATATATATATATATATATATATATATATATATATATATACTTTGTTTTGACACTCTGAATATCTATATATCCCGATTCATTTCATGTCAAGGATGATAGATTATTTTAATAATGTTAATTTTAATACCCAATTTTATTGCTTTTCAAAAAATATAATACTGTGTCTTCATCTTAACGAAATGCAAAATCACGTGATGGTTTAAGGACCGGGCATAATATTTAACTTTCATCATCATTATCATAAAAGAAATACTACATATAAGGAAGATTATATTGTAAATAATTTAAGAAGCACGTTATATTTTGTCATGTTCACTGCTTATAATGTTAAAACGACCGCATATAACTTTAAATACACCTAATGTAATGTTAAAAGCACCTCGTATAATTACAAAACTTTATATTATCATATAATGAATGATGTACTGTTAGTATGTAATGAAAGTTGCACATGATATAATGTAAGAAAGACTTTATATAATCAAGATTATAAGAACACTACATATAATGTTCAATCCTCATATTTGACAATTCTAGTGTTCCATTGATGAGATTTGAAAGCTTGCTTACAAAGTGCAGATTCTTAATTGTTCAATTCCTTGGCCCTAGAGGTAGGGCGGTGCCACAATAGGGGATTAAGGTTCGGACCAAATATTATATGAAAGTTAGAGGACAGTAAATATTAAATTGATCATTCCATGGGCCTCTGGTAAGGGTTGGGTCACAATGGGGGATCAAAGTTTTACATAAAAAATATTCAATTAAATAATTTGCATTGAAATATATGGAGAAAAATCTTGAAAAATCGTCATTTCAAGAATAACAATTATTTGATTAAGGATATTAAAATGCAACTATTCTTATATCGTATGGATTCAAACTTATATAATTCGATGCCCAGGGATCTTTGGAAGGCTACAATACGAGAAAACATTTTATGGTGAAATATACAGGAAAAAATCTTCAAAATGTACTGAAGAGCCAAACCAGGTTCACTACAATCAAAAACTCCCAAGTTGCGTGGATTTATGTATTTTTTTTTAAATAGGGACGGGGCTGGGTAAAGTCGGGTATCAAATATCAGGGTATACATATACACAGGACGTCAAATTCTTCTCCATAATAGCAACGTCATGTTAGTCATATTAATTTTGAAACATACCCAAGTTCTTTACATTCAGAGAATTTTGGCGGGGTCACAGTTTGGGTTCATAGTGTTTTATGGTATTAAAAAGGGATTTTTTTTCAAAAGTCTTCTAAATAACAGAGCTTTTAAGGGTTCTCTTGTGAGTGTTGGGCCTTTTGTTTTGTTATCAAAAAACTTTTAAAATGAATTAACTTGAAATTCTGTATATACGTACTTTTCCTACTTTATAGGATTAAAATGTGGGTGTTAGAGTGAATGTGTGTGGGTTCAAGTGTTTGTAAATATTTTGAATTTAAAGTAACCAGATACTTGCAATGAATTACATGTACTCATCGTGCATTTTTCTTACTTTTTTTAAATGTCAGTTAAATTCATGAGAGAGTTGAAAATTTGCATGAAAATTCAGAATCGTTCGAAATGTGGATCTTTTTTTTCCTCCAAAAAACTTAGACATGAAGCTCAAAGAAAATTGTATCTTTATCTGAAAACCAATACTTTCTTGTTCAATGGTAGAGCATATATGCAATAAAGGTCAATGGCTGACGATAGTTAAATGTATGTTGGGAAGTAATATTGATCCATGTGTATTGGGTACAATCTCAGTAATTTGATAATTGTCCAAATATTTTTTTTAACAGGCTCTGATAAACTTTTAACGTTAAAACAATAATAAATCTTTCGGCAATATCAGACTTTCTTAACAGAACTTATGAGTTATATACTCTGGTAATATTTTGACTTCAGATTAATAATTGACATTTTTTTATTTGCTTTTTTGTTGGCTTTCCTCTTTAGCATACTGTAATATTGGTGGTCTCTGTGTAGCCCACGGGCTTGAAAACGGTGAAAAGTCTTGTTTTTATTGTAACACGACAATCAACAGAGAAAGCTGGTCATTGCGTCAGGGTAAGTGTCATTTCAAATATTTTCAATCATACAGAATGAAGATTTTTTTTCTGAATAAGGTAAATGATAGAAAATATATTTTATCTTTCCTTCAAAGCTCATTTTGGTCAGTTATATCTATACAATATAACACAAACATTTCACTTGGAAAAGAATAAAACCAGCCAATTCTCTACAAACGTATACATAAAACATAAGGTACCTTTTCCTAAACGGTTATATTCGATTTCTTGAGTCATTCAGGTGACTTTTATCTCTTTATTTTCGTCCGTCCTTCTTGCGTTTTCATTTGAACATTTTCAGTTTCTTCTCTAGAATGGTCCAACCTATATAGACAAATTTTTACAGATAGCATTTACGAGCAAAGGGTTACAAATATTAAAAATGTCATGGTCTCTGTTGCTGTCTCCCGAAGTTGTTGGGGCAAAACCATCAGATGTAATGCATTCTTTAAAATAATATTCTCCTTACTCCTGGACCTCATTAAGTTAAAAGGCTGGCATCGATTTAATTTCAATCAGTTATTTAACAGAATTGTGAAATTAGTGGCAATTGGTTTACATGTTCAAACTCCACGGCGGGGCTAGCTGAATATATTTTGTTAATGAACTATATCTAAAATATATTCTTTAGTTAGGGGCATAAAAAAGCAAACTATATGCATGATTTCCATTTGTATTCATCCTTTACGAATATATAAGATTTGTGGTTCGAGGATTCCTTGCTTAGGGGGAAGGAACACGAGTCAAGAGAAAGAGAACTTAATTAATATAAAAACATTTTATATTTTAAAAAGATATATTTCTTTTCTCTTTTTTGAAGGATATCTATTGCTTTTTGTTTGTGTGTTTATTGGGAATACTCTTTTTTTTTTTTACAAATGATGTGAAATTCTTGGTCCTTGGCCCATGTTTCAGACCATTGAGCGAGGCTTCCTTCGTTATGTTCTGAAAACACAATTCATCTTTGAAATTGATTTTCTCAGTCTAAATGTTTAGCAGGCAAACTATTAACATGATAGCAACTAACACATCAATTCACCTTCCCTCGGACTAACTGATTAGACACCAGGGGCTCGTTTCTCAAAAAGGCCTACGACTGGGCGTAAGCTTAGTCCGGACTAAGTCAGTGACTAAACCCAAAAATCGGACTAAGCAGCGTTTCACAAAAAGGCGCAGACTTAGTCGAGACTAAAGTTAAGCTTAAATCTACGCCTGCTCATGAGTAGGCGTAAGTTCTTAGTCTGTACACAACTTGGAAAAAGTGGCAAGTGTTTTGGTCATAAAGAGATAAAAGAATAATTATTTTGTACGTGTACGATATAATATCTAATCAGGTACATATATGATATGCGAAAAATCGTGAAATTTTCAATTATTATATAGGTAAATAGAAGGGTATTAAAAATCCAGCGAGGATGCAGACTTTTTTCCGTAAAAGGGTTTGATGAGCTAGAAATTTATAAGTAAGAATTTTGAATTGTGAAACTGGATAAGATATTAAGAAGTGCCCGAGTTTAAAAAAAAAAAGCAGGCACGCGTAGTATGGGGAGGGGGGGGGGGGCTGTAACCCTCCCGCTTTTTCAGTAATGGTGTTTTCTGTTAAAAATTAAGTTGTAATTTAGTCTGACCTACACTTTCAGTTTTTGTTTTCATGTACTGTCAAAGTTTGCTGAATATTTTGGTTACTCAATTACCTATCCCCCTCCCCCATCCCCCCCCACACACACTGGGTCTCTGATAATTTTTAATTTTTGAAATGGATAATTTTTTTTAAACTCCTCAAACAATATACATTTAGATATACCTTTTACCTTAATTTCCCCTTTTATCAAATATAAAATTTATAGAACAGAAAAATATGAATTTGTAAAATGTTCCAGCAATTAATTATCTTGTCTGTAATACTGTTTTTTCCTATTTCAAAGTATAAACTGTCATGGCGTTTAAGATGTGCAGGTGGGTCAATCATTTTTTAATTAATTTACAATCTATCATACTTTTCTCAGACGAATTTTGTTTGAGAGTGTCTTTTGATCGATTTATCAGATAAACACTTTATATTACAAGCATTTGAAAAGAAAGTGGTAAATGTGTTAAAATTTTTTTTTATTGTAAATGAGAAATAGAGTTTCAAATTTGCTCTCATTTAATGCATTATACTCATAAAACATATCAAGAAGAAGAAATTTTGCTTATCTAACATGACTTGTTAATATCTTTAAATCTAGATTAAATCTTCAAGAAATATTCAGCATCTATAAAAGAAATATTATATGATCATATTCTTAATGGAAATTGAAATTACTAGATTTAAAAGAAAAAGATGGTGATGGTATCTTTTTCTGAGTGTAGTATTTTGCTATATTAAATTTTCCTTGAGATGCTGCAGGTTGCCCCCCCCCCTTTTTTTTTGTCGCTGTAAGGCCGAGCACTGACAATTTTCATAATTCCATGACTTGGTTAGTTGATTAGCTTTTTGACTTGGTAAATTACATGACTTGGAAAGTAATTAGGTTTTTGATTGGAAAGTTAATGAAATTTTTTTGGTCACATTAATTTGGGAAGTTGACACCCCCCCCCCCCCGCAACTCCCACTTTTTGGTAGTTTAGTTTTCAGATTTTTTGGGAGGATTTTTTTTATTTAGGCAACATGTAATTGTAGTCTCTAAACCAAATAAAATATGATCTGCGCATGCTTAGTACTTAGCGGAGAAGTCTTAATCTTAGCTCTAGTCTTACACCGCTTTCTGAAACGCGATTTAGGCCCGTCTAAATTTTGGCGTAACTTACTTAGTCGGACTAACTTAGGCCCAAATCTACGACTTTTTGAGAAACGAGCCCCAGGGGCTCGTTTCTCAGAAAGGCCTACGACCAGGTGTAAGCTTAGTCCGGACTAAGTCAGTGACTAAAACCCAAAATCGGAATAAGTAGCGTTTCACAAAAAGGCGCAGACTTAGTCGAGACTAAAGTTCAGCTTAAATCTACGCCTGCTTATGAGTAGGCGTAAGTTCTTAGTCTGTACACAACTTGAAAAAAAGTGGCAAGTGTTTTGTTCATAAGGAGATAAAAGAATAAATATTTTGTATGTATACAATAACTAGTCATGTACATATATATATATATGATATGCGAAAAATTGCAAAATATACAGTTATTATGTATAAGGTAAATAGAAAGGTAGTAAAAATCCAGCGAGGATGCAGACTTTTTTCCGTAAAAAGGTTTGATGAGCTAGAAATTTGTAAGTAAGAATTTTGAATTGTGGAACTGGGTAAGATATTAAGAGTTAAAAAAAAAAAAAAAGCAGACACGCGTAGTATTGGGGAGGGGGCTGCACAATATTGTGCTTTCTAAATTACCTACCCCCTTCCCCATGATGGCATCTCCCCCACACACTGGATCCCTGATAATTTTTATTTTTGAAATGGATAATGTTTTTCATTAAAAAAAAACTCCTCAAACAATATACATTTAATGTATTTTCGATAATAAGAAATATTCGGTAATTATGCCATCAATTAAATTAATTCACCTTTTACCTTAATTTTCCCTTTAAAGCAATATGAGCTGCAACTTTGATGTCGGAAATTTTTGCTGCAAAATTGTAATTAACTATTTGAATGGCAGAAAAAAAGAACATTTATAAATTTCTGTTGTTCATATTTGCTGGAATAAATATCTATAAGCTTTGATTGAAGCAAAATTACATTATTGTCATCCTGTACAATATTGATCTCTTACAAAATACTATATATTTGTCTGTACAGAAGTCTTTCTTCTTAAACAATTAAGTACTCTATTGTAGTCTTACTGATCATAAAGGGTTGAATTACTTACAAATTTATCATAATAACACATTTTAACAGCAAAATAAAATTCTCAAGAATGCAGCTCATATTGCTTTTATTAAATATAAAATTTATAGAACAGAAAAATATGGTTTTGTAAAATGTTAATTATCTTGTCCGTAATACTGTTTTTTCCTATTTCAAAGAAGTAACTGTCATGGCGTATAAGATGAGTAGATGGGTCTATCATTTTTTTTTAAATAGGTACTTGTTTTTAATTAATTTACAATCTATCGTACTTTTATCAGACGAATTTTGTTTGAAAGTGTCTTTTGATCGATTTATGAACAGATAAACACGTGCACTTTATATTACATGCATTTGAAAAGAAAGTAGTCAATAACGTGTAAAAATATTTTTATTGTAAATGAGAAACAGTCATTTAATGCGTTATACTCATAAAACATATCAAGAAGAAGAAACTCTGCTTATCTTAAAATATCTATGAATATGTAAATCATGACTTGTTAATATCTTTAAATCTAGAAAAATCTTCAAGAAATATTCTGCATCTATAAAAGGAATATTATATGATCATATTCTTAATACAAATTGAAACGGATATACTAGATTTGAAAGAAAAAGATGGTGATGTTGAAATTTGTTCCTTTCCCGATCTAAATAAATCTGATTCCGACTGGAAATATATTAAATGAAAATATTTCAGAAATTTATAAAAAATACTACATTGTTTGCCTGTTATATGGATTGCAAGAAATTGATTAAAAACTAATTAAGCTTCTGCAAACCTTTAATAAGAATGCGTGTGATAATGGAAATGTTGTATATGCGTATTTTTACATGGACTACGTAAATTATCATTTCGATTTCAATGTTATAATGTATGTCCAACGTGTAATACATGTATTATAATACATGTATCAGCTTGAATGCCAAGAAATCTAATTCAGTTAGAATTGATTATTCTGTTATGAAATTATGAATTCAAAACAACTGATAATTTTTCAAAAATCTCTTATCCATATCTTAATGATAATTATATGACTTCATAATTGTTAAATTTTCCACGGGTCCGTAGAACGCGGTGGGGCCAGGCGGCCCCGGCCCTCCACTTTTTCAGAGTGTGTAGTATTTTGCTATATTAAATTTTCCTTCAGATGCTGGTTGCCCCCTCCCCCCGCCCCACTTT